ATAACAAATAGGCTCCAGGACAGTTTTCATTTAGCCTGTGACACGATGATGACTCAGGCACGAGGCGCATCATACTGTGGAAACGGTTTGGCGTGGTACAGGATTGAACTCCATGTTGCACGGCTGACTGTCAAGTTGCGGTTTAATAACCTTTTCTTGGCAGGGGCAGCAAGGTTCCTTCCTTTCATTTTTTGCACAGACTTGGCCAAATGGATTTGATTTATTCAAGTCAGGTTTTGTATGGCAAATGTTGTCTCCTATGGGCAAACATTCATGGACTTGATGCTTCAAGCGCTAGCTATCATTCGGTCAAGCTTGCAGGTCCGTCATGACCCACCAAATCCGACATACAGGAAATATGCTATGTCAATGTTGGAGATTACCTTCAAGCTAGCAGATGAGAAGCTTGACAGCGCCCCAGCCATGCTGTCACAGAGTCAGAGACTGCGTATGGAGCTGTTTTGCGATATATTCAATGGTGACTGGAAGGAGGGGACGTTGTGGCACCACTGCAGTGTTTTTTGCAAATGCGGCGGAAGCAAAACAAAGCTTATTGAACTTGCAACGAGTTTGTTCATGGAGATGGTGATGAGCTCACGGCCCAGAATACCGGCGCTGAATCGTTGGCTTAGATGCGCTGATACTGCACGTTGGTTTCTGCTACCTGGTTTCGCATGGTGGCCATGGTAAGAACATGTAACGTGAGGCGTGTAAACATGTAGCATTGGAGGCAGTGACATGTGCATGGACCCGGGAAGTATGGTATCATCTGAGTCAGAGTCATAGTAAAAATACCTATGTAGCCTATGGGCCATGGGCCTATGGGCCTATGGGCCATGGTCTGAATGAATCACTACTCATGGGTCGCAAACAGAGTGGTTTTTGTAGCATGGTCATTGTCATCAATCGATAGCAAATAACCCGACTCTATAGATGCTGCGCCTGCTTTCTATGTGTTTTTGCTTCTTGCTGCGTGACCACAGCCCAATTTCCAAATGCAATATTCAGTGTTCAGGCATCTAGGTTACTGTGCAGTGTGCACTGCTGCTAATCGGCCACGGTTTCACTGTTCCATTATCACTACTGTGATAATATCAGTACCGTCACAGTATCAATAAAACTGTGACTGTAACTGCAACTGCACTGTAATTTTTAATATAACCCATAATCCATAATCTATAGGTTTCATCATCATTGTCAGAGTCAGGGGCATTGTCATATTGCCTTGCGCATTGGATGGATTGTCATTGTCGGTTCAATTCCTAATGTTGCCATCAGCATGTGGAAAGCCCTCATTCACTCCACATTTTACATACAGCACACATAAGGCACCGAACCGTCAAGTCCTGTCACGTATTTGGATTTGTATGGTATTTTCAGTACTGGGCGAAGTAGATCTACAGCGGCAATGCAAACCATATAGTGGCAAGGTGTAAACATGCAATAGTACAACCTATATGCTGTAATTAATCTGTAGACGGAAAGCTGAGGCTCGGCATAGCTTGCCACAATCTGTTGGGGCAGGCATTTGCGCAGCTCTTCAGCAAACCAGACAAGAAGGGTGCAGGCAAGTCTGCGGACGCAGGATCTATTTTGCAGCTGCTCTCCTCAATCATGTGCGACATTGCAGGCTGTGAAACTGATGGGAATGGAGAAATCATAGCAAAGCCTGAAGATGTAGCATCTGCATCTTTCACGGCATCAGATATACCAGTAGCAAAAGTGCAGGGCGTACGAGCTGCAAAAGGATTAGCCTGTCTACAGCGAATTGAGACACCGTGTGAGATTCTTGCTGCAGTTGTGTGCACGGAACATGTTGGGCATCTTTCAGCGTGGCTTCTAAAAGGGCAGTCACACCAAACCTGGCTGCACAGGGATCCACAAGAAAGGCCGCTGGTGGCCTTGGCAACACTACGCTACAGTCCTGCGGCTAAGTGTGTGGATGCACTGCTTCACCTCTTGCGTGACGGCAAATCTGGCAGGCTTGCACTCTTTGATGGAACCCTGGTTGTTGTCCGAGCCAATTTTTAATGTTTTCACATGAAACTAACCAAATGGAAACATTGTATGACTCACGACTCATGTATGAGATGATTATTGTAAATATAGTTTATAAATAATGATATATATTATTATGTATGCAATTGAAACCACATGCGACATGTCACATGCAATAGAGGTCAGCAATTATCATTTCATAATTGACAAGGCTATGACTATGACTATGACAAAGCAACTCAAGACTCATTCGTTGCGGTGCGGGCAAAACAAGGAGCATGCTGCAATATGAGCACTCTGAATAAGACTGAAACTATGACTATGAGTCTATGAGTCTATGTCTATGACTGAGACTATGACTACTTCTATGACTCCTCTCTGACTGTTAAACTTATAGTAACTTATAGTATATAGGCTAGGCTATAGGCTACTTACTACTAACTAATAGGCTACTAGCTGTGATTCTGACTCTATGACTAATAGGCTTAGGCTAAGGCTATTGGCTAGGCTATTCGGCTAATAGGCTCTATGATTCTATGACTCTGACTCATAGTCCGCTTCAACCGTATGTAACGTATGTAACACACATATGTAAGCATGTAATGTACGAGTCAGGAGGCATGAGTCATTGTAACCTCTACATCGAGGCCTTCAAGGGAGTGGTGTGGACACAAGTGCTTGCAATGATGGCGATGAGCAACATGAACATGAACCTTTGTGTCTTGGCATTGTCTTCTTCTGTACACTGCATGTGGCAACCAAGCTGTGGAGAAGGCTAATTGAGCCGCATCAAGCGTTCCCTTGGAAACTGGCTGCTCTTGCTGACAACCGTCTTAGCCAAGAAGAACATGAGTCTATTCTTCTTGACTTTCGGCGTGCTAAAAGCTGTTGTCTAGATGAGGGCTTTGGAGCACGGCTGCAGCAGCGGGCTATAGACGACCCAACAGTTCTATTGGAAGGCGGGAAGCTACACCCCATAGTCACTTTGCTGACTCACCAAAAGATTATCAATGCGGAGATTGAAGACAATTTTGCACGTGCCAACTCTGTAGCAAAGCTGGCAAGAGGAGAGGGTTTGGGGATGCTATCAGACCAAGCAGTCAAGAGGCAAGAGTAAGCAAATTTCACTGAAGCCCAAACAAAACAATCTAGACTGAAGACCATAGACGATCTGTTTATCACTCACTCACAGTCAGAGTCAGAGTCATGAGCCATAGTCTTAGTCTAGTCATAGGCTAGTCATTAGTAATTAGTAATTAGTCTTAAAGACGACTTGAAGTTCCATAGTCATAGACTATGCCTTGGAGTCTTGAACTTACACAGGCTACCCGGTAATGGGAGACTGTATGCACCTACTTAGCATCCTTGTCAGGAAAGCCTGTGAACCTCTCGACAAATTGCTGCAAGCACGTGCTTGCTGAGCTCAAGCAGGAACATGTTGCCCAAGTTGCTCAACTACCTTCATGTCGTACCACAGCGGTGGACAAGCGCTTTCCTGATTTGAAGTGCATCGATCGTATCAAGCCCCCAGCCTGGAGTCCAGTCTTACTTACGGGTCTGTTGCCTCAGGGTTTTGATCAGGCACCATCAGGGAATGATGGATCAAACGATGACGATGATAATGCTGATCATCGTGACAGTACAATCATGGGTGCTCTTCTAGGCATAGAGCGTGACCTTTCTGCTTCTGAGCTGTGTCCATGGCAACAGTGTCCACAGCAAGCGCAACGACGGGATACAGACTACCAGGCTATCACCAAGGGCATTCAGGCGCTAGCAAGTGCAAAATCACATGGTCAGAAGCGAAAGCGTGCGCGAGGAAATTTTGGATTCTTTCAGCACGTGGCCAACACAAGAGTGTTGCTGGCGAGAAACCCAGGGGAAGTCAAGGGAGAGTTTGAGAAGCGAGTGCGTGTTCATGCAAAGGAGACTTGGAAGGACTTGCACTTAGTCAACGCTCAGGCGTTTGAAGCGACAAGAACAGTGTTGATAAACAATAACTGCGTGTGTATGTATACACCGTATACCGTATACCAGTACCACCTGCAGTACACCTACAAGTGTAAGTGTCACCCAGCGATATGTGCAATGTGACAGAGCGACGCTTACAGTGAAATCAGCACTCATATCATATCATGAATCATGTCAATTCGTGTATGTGAACCTCCTTGTAGGATTAGCTGTACAGCGCCAGCAAGGTTGCAGCAAAACGTGAGCAGGGAGCAGCAAACGTGCAATTCATGTCTTGTTAGTCAGCCAAGACTGCGATGGCAAGCCGTAGGAGACACTGGCACAAACATCACGCACAGTACATAGTGTGTCCAAACACTTTGGCCATACTATACTGACTATCATCCCTAGGCATTGTGGCACGCATACTGGTGTTGGTGTCGATATTGCCATATTGCCATAAACGGAATATTGTGGTGTCAAATCAGCAAACACATAGTACTGCAGTTCCTATAACTGTAACATAGCATTAGCATAAACTATAACTCAACTAAGACTCAGACTATAACTCTATAACTAGTGTTTTAGCAGTGACATATTGTCTCCAGACAGGCCCTTGTATCTCTGGTAAGAAGTATGTAACTACATGTAGCTACTCACAGCACTCAATGGCAGGTTTTAGTGCAGCAGCGTAACCAATGATGTGGAAATTCAGAACAGTGGTGTTCATATTGCGAAACAGTAAAGTGATTGAGTTATAGTTATTCAGTTCAGCATTTCAGACACTCTGAAGCAACGTATGACATGACTGTGTCCAGTCGCAATCTTTTAAGGAGGAGCAAGAGACACGGGATGCTTGCAAAGAGCAAGCTGTCAAGAAGAGAAGGACAGGCAACAGTCAGCACAGGTGTGCCCCTAATGTTGCTCCAGAAAGAGATGCAGCTGCAAGCGGTTATGGGCATTGTGGACTTGGCGATCATCAATACCCTATTGAAGAAAAGCTTTTCACTGCCATTGCTGACCAACCTGGGTTTAGTGACAGGCTGAACCAAATGTGGGGTGACGCGCATTCTGATATCACTGACTGTGGGGACACTGACTTGCCTCTCAAGAAGGGCAAACCCCTATGCCTCAGCTTTTGCAGAGCAAGGTGTCTTTCAGGGCAAAGCGCCGACTCGCAGCTCGTGTTTTCATCCACAAGGAACCTTATGTTGAACATTTGCAGAAGTTTGCAGCCACTATACAAGAAGATTACGAAGCAAATCTCACCGTCCACTCGGCACCCTGTGCTCCTTGTCCAATCTGTTTGCAAGGAGACAGGGGCAGTTCTTGCGTGCAATGGATGGGTGCTGTCTCTAGCCGGTTTTCGTCCTTTGCGTGTGGATGGCATTGAGCTAGAACTGCCGGACCTTGGTGCGCTGGTGCCTCCTTGCGATGTGAGGTTGAAATCGGCCAATATCTTCAAGTCGGTGCTTTCCACATTCTGTTTTGCGAGTATGGACAGAATTGCATTTGACATCGCGCAAAGCCACACGGCATATGTGGGACCTTCTGGCACAGGCAGGCTGGAATATTGCTTTCAGCCCCAGTACACCCTTGCCTGGGGACAACTGACTTCTTTGCATCTTGCCAATCAGTTGACATGGACTCCAGTTTGCCTCGTCGGCCACGACAATGATGATGATGGTGATGACAACGAGGGTGATCAGGATGACGCTAATGAAGATCAGGACGGGCCAAATGATGAGCTTGAGGATCTTACCAATTTGGTGGATGAGCTATTGGGAGAACAAAAAACAGAGTCCAAGCAGCAGTCGAAACGGCGGTCCAAGCAGCAGTCAACACGTGGTCGAGCAGGAGGGGGACACAAAAGCGAGAAACCAGCACCGCCAAAAAGCGTCTCAGCTGAAGACAGCAAAATACATGGCAGGTAACATGAATTAACCAAAACATTCGATTCATTGAGAATTAGTACAGCGTATTTAATATCATGACCAGGCGTCCAGCTACGTGGTGAAGTTCAATACATTTGTGTAGCAATGCATTACAGTACTATTGTCATTCATGATTCATGTTATTTTTAATTACTACAGTAACAGTGGTTACTACTACTATTTCCATGGAATCTATGCATACAGTGTGAGGGCTTAAGACTTTGCAAATAAGACATAGAGGCAGAGTCATAGTCATAGAGTCATAGACTCATAGATGCTGTAGAGTATGTGACAGTATGTGCTAATGTGCTAATGGGTCCTGCTTTGTGTGGATGCACAAACAAGCACATCACATAACCAGGTGAGCTTGAGCATGTAGACCCAGAGCTGGCTGAGCTGCAGCGGGAATGGCTTCTTGCCAGAGATCGGCATTTGGGGCATACTTCAGCATGGACATGTGACCTAGCTTCCATGCCACCAGATGTTGCTCAGTCAGTGGAACAGAATCAGAAGAAGGATACGAAGGCACAGTGCAGCATTCATTCTAGTTCTAGTAGAAAGAAATATAATAGCAGTGGTTGTTATATGATACGTTAAGTGATAAGAAGTGCAAAAAAGTTCTGCTTATTTGCTACCAATCAAAAGCAATGTTAATGTATAATTAATAAAACAATATATATATATTATTATATTATATAAAATATTAATATAGACAAACTAAACTGTAATGTAATTAGTAACTAGTAATAAGTAATAATAAGTAAAGAGGCGAGAACGACGAAGCCCAAGCTTACACCTAGCTTCATAGCCTACTTCTCTGAAACTACAACAACAACAACAACTACTAATACTACCACCACCACTACTACCACTACCACTACCACTACCACTATTCTACTACTACCACTAACACTACTACTGTTGCTGCTGCTACTACTACTGCTACTGCTACTACTACACATAGTCGGATTCAGAAACTAGGCTAAAATATGGTGTTTCTAACAATATGGGCTGATAGTGATTCGCTTTCATCCACACAACATCTGCAGGAGGCGGCATGGAGCAGCAAACGAGCAAAGAAGCAGCAACATGCAACAGCGCCATCGGCGTCGGCATCATCTTCAGCAGCGGACAGCTCAGGCACCGGCAGGATGCACACAGAGGAACATCGAGAGCCGCCCTACTTTATGGATGAGGAAGGACATGTTTGGAAGCAAAGTATTGTCAACGGACCAACAACATATTTGGGTGGATTGGATTGATTTGAAATTTTTTCTTTGGGTAGGAAAGTATAGTATAGGGACCTAGGGAGATGATGAAAGGATCACTGTTATGTCCAAGGACGTATCACTGAAGTGCGCAAAGGGCAGAAAGGCCATTCTATAGCAGTACGTTGCCAACATCACACCAACTGCAGCGTCCTCAAGACGGCTAATGCTTTTGCACCTCGTGGACACCTGACATATGACATGCTGATGCAGTGGCTCTTCATTGGACCTGACCGGGTTCCTAACCGCACAGACGCAGCTGCCCACAGGACCTTGTTTCACGTGCTTTTGTTATTTTTTTCAAGTGCATCTATTGCCTCTATTTGTTCATTTTTCATGACAGCAACTTACATGTGTGTGCTTCCAACAAACACTCTGAGGCAATAGCAGCGGCTTAATTTGCAAGGGGAAAGCTCAGCGGGCTTTGGGAAGATCAACGGTGGAGCGCAGGGTACACTTGACCGATGTTGGGGATGGAAAACGGTGGTTCCGCTCGGTGCTGCTTGAGTGGCTGATGATCACATCATGTATACTGTGTATGATGTACATGTCGCACGCACGCACGTGCATCGCACGTTCATCGCACGTTCAATGCACGTTCAATGCACGTTCAATGTATGTACAAAAATAAGAGATACCAGTATCTGCTATTTTTTCTCTGTAGACTAAAGTAATATTGAGAGACTGTACATGCTCAAAAATAAAAGATACCAGTAGCTGCTAATTTTGTACGTGGTGTGTGTGTACATGTGTACATACGTGTACGTACGAGTGTACGTACGTGTACGTACGTGTGTGCGTGCGTGTGCACGACATGTGTGCGTGTGTGTGTGCGTGTGTGTGTGGGCGGGCGAGCGAGGGTGAGACATTGGTGTGTGCGTGTGGAGATCTGAAACTTGTGCATGCAGTATATCAGGTGTATGATTTCACATGCTGAATGGGCATGCACATTGCTGACATGTCCAAACCACTCTTTTTGTGTTTGAGAATTTTCCTGAGCCAAGCAAAGCCTTTCGAGAGCAACTGTCAGTCGCCATGTCTGCCACAGCGCCAGACCCACCTGCCTCCTTTGACAAACCGGCTGAATATGTGGCAATGAGGTGTCAATTCTGTGGTGAGTGGTCGACCAGCCCATGTCCTTGGGAACCAAAAGATCGTAAGGCAGACAGATGGTGGCCCCTACTAGCGTGGAATGGTGGTTGTCGTGAAAGCCCCCGAGGATGCACCTGCCTGCCTTGTGCAATCGTTGCTGGCCTGTGCTATCCTGTGGTGATGTAAGGTAAACATGTTAATAGTGTCTTGTGTCACAATCACCTGTTTGTCTTTGCGCTGATCCAAGGTTATTGTTGCTGGCGGGTGGGAGATTGAAGTTGGGGGCGGAATCAAGAAGTGTTCCGTGTTCTTCTCTGCCCATCCCACCCGACTGCATGCGCGCCCTTTCCGCATTTCATACTACATTATTTCACCTATAAGAACTTTCAATCCAACAACGACAACGCTTCGCGGTTTCACCTAGGTTCTTGCGCCAACGGACCGTGCTGATTGAATTGAAGATTCAGAATCCGAACATGAGGATTAGATCCTCCGAGCAATTAGGCCCACGTGAGAAACCTGCATCAATTCAATCAACTGTTTTTGTTAGTTCCGAGCTTCCGGGCTTGTCTTTACCACTATGGAGATTGGGTTTGCAGTGTCAGCTGAGGATTCTGGAGGCTATCACAGAGCATACCGAAGGTCTGACAGCAGCATTGCAATTCTTTGTGGAGGTGAACACATACCACCAAATGACTGGTCAAGCACCAGCAGAGAGTGAAATGACGGAGAAGATGTTCCACGGAAATACTGTCATTGGTGTGGCCCGGCATCCAATGGAACAACAACAACAACAACAAACAACAATAGTTTTATCTTGCAGTTCTTATGATTAATTATATTATATATTATATATTTATATTATATTATATTATATGTTTTTTTATAATCTCACTATCACTATCTCATTATAACCCAGGTGACGGTGGCAGGACGGCAATGGAAGATGGCTTGGGAGGATGGCCAAAGAGGTGTCTACCGTGTTGAAGGCACGACCACCACGGGTGTGAAGAGGACCCATCGGCTTATGGACTCTGACAAAGATGGCCCAGCGCTGACTGATGGTCTAGCTGACAAAACCGAGAAGCATATGGTGGGTTTGCTATTCTCTGGCCGGAGCAAAGCCCCGCTCAATGATCCAAACATGGATCGTGCAACTGCCCTCCTTGGTATTGGCAACTGTTTGGATGGACTCTTGGACGATGGCTTCAATTCCGGCCCAGCAGCTTCCACTACGCCTGCACCAGCTGCCCCAACACCATCCATTGCAGAGACCGCTGCGAATACCACTTCAGCAGCCATGGATGAAGACTCTGCTTTTACATCAAGGTTTGAGTCTGTCATCCGTTCAACAGCAACAGGTCCAAACAGAAAGTCCTCAGCGTCAGCCAAAGCTGCAGCAGCCAAGAGTGCAGCGCCATCCAAGGCATCAGCTACTGCTGCAGCTGCTGCTGCAGCCAAGGCTGCTGCCAAGGCTGCCGCAGCCTCATCACCAGCTGGAAAGAGAAAAGCGACAAAGCCCAAGGGCAAGGACAAGGACGGCAAGGATGGCAAGGATGCTGACGTGGTCAATTTGGATCCGTTGAAAGCCAGGTCTAGAAACACCACTGCCATGCTTGAGCAAGATGAGACATGGCTTGATGAGATCGATGATGAAATTGCAACATTGCTTGACTTTCAGGCAGCTCGCTCTGGGGAAGCTGAATTCAAGGCAGATGCTGCTGAGAGAATGAAAGAGGCCAATGTCACCTTGGGCAAAGTGAGGTCCAGAAAGCGTCTCTACAAAAGAAGGTCTGAAGAGAATAGGCGAGATGCAATTGAGAAAGCCGATGAGAAGGAATTGCTGATCCTACACTTCATCAACCTTCTGAAAGACCTTGTCAAGCAGGCCTCCGTTCCTGCGGATGATTACATGGCCAAAGTCGATTCATTGACTTCGAACGGTGCCAAGCTTGGTGAGGAGACTTTGAAACGGGTTGCTCGGATGCTATGGGCAGATGACTTGAAGTACCTCCGCTTCAGCGGGATGCTCACAACAACCTTCAGCTATGTGCAGACCATGATTCCGGAATCGAAAACGTTTGATTCATTCAAGTTCCTTCGCCAGCAGCTGGTAGTCAATCTGCAGAGGCTTCTCAAAGGAATCGCGCCAGACAAGGTGTCTTGGGATTGATCGAATGATATTGATTGTGTTAGAGTCATGTCATGAGTCATCATTCGCTATAAATAGAAACTTCAATAGTTTACTAGATATGAGATACGATACGATATGATTCCTTTCCACTAATAATAATATAACTGATTATATAATATATGCTGCATGCTGAATTTATAGTGTTGAATCTATGTCCTTTGTCCGCAACGCGTTCTACCCTTGAGGTGTCCATTGACCCTTCCGTAGATGAGATGGCACCATTGAGAGACTTCCTGGACTGTATGGCAGCTAATATGATATGCTCTGACAAGGAGGGTGAGAATATGAAGAACGACTTTGCCATCCTCAAGAATGTAGCCAATGGAAAGTCTTCACCACCAACAGAGGTGCATGAAGCGATTGAAACCATCAAGGCAGAGAACCGGCCTCTTCTTGCATCGTTCAAAGGGTTTCCACAGGGCAAGAAACTGATGAGCCTATGTGAAGAAGCCATAGAGGGCAGACTTCACTTGCAATCCGTGTGTCATGACCTTGCCCAGGTCAAAACAGATTGCGAGCAGTTCACTACCGCTCTTTCAGGAAACACAGTTGATTCAGCTGTCAAGAACTTCACAAAAGTGCACTCCAACTTCAAGGCTGCAAAGGTAAAGGCTACCCAAGGACTTCAGAAGCCAGACTCCGCAATGCAAAGTGCACTTTCATCAGCTGAGAGTGCACTCATGTCCTTTGGAAAGGACATTTCCACGCACTATTGTCTTACTGAGCTTGGGCCTTGGTTGCTTACACAGAGCAAGACATTGAAGTCTTCCAGGATCATGTCGAAGCCTCCAGCATCTTCTTGTATGAACCTGAAGCCACTCATGGAGAAATTGCTCGGGGAGGGTGCAGTCGCCACTTTCGTCGACATAGAAATGTTCCATGTGTCTTGCAGTGCCATTGCTGAGGAGACAGACATCCTGTTGAGACAAGCTGGGGAATCATCAGCTTCCAGGACACGAGAAGCAGTGGTACGCCTTTGCCAGTCATACAAGCAGTGGCAGGAGCGAGCAAATGCAATGGTTTGCACCTTTCCAAGTGTTAATGATGCTACCAATGAGACATCTGCCAGATTGAATGAGCTTGTTTCCCACTGGTGCAGCAATATTTGGAATGACGCCATGGGGTTTCCTCGAAATGTCCTTGGACACATGGTAACTATGCAGGCAAATGAGATTGTCACTGACGGAACAAGGAGCCTGCTTAAGCAAGCCTTGCAAGCAGTGTCTGAGACAAAGCTTCTGGTGACTGGCCTTTCAGGTGATGATCGTGAGTCTCTAGCGGAGACGGCGACCTTTTTGGAACACCTCTTCCAGTATACCGAGAGGTCCTTTGAAGATCAATCCCCCGCGAGTGCCCGGCACATTTTCGAGCTCTTCCAAGATCTACAGTTGATCAGCAAGGACGACTGCATCCGGACTAATGTCGGTGACTTTCCGGAAGACCAATTGCAGCGTCTTGGCATAGCATGGTGATCCTTATGTACACTGTTTATGATTATAAATATAGTAATATGATAATATGATATGACTCATCACTCATTACTCTATAGCATAGTATAAAACAGTATCCTTAGTAAAGTCTAGTATTCCGACTTCACCGTTTCCAAAACAAATTGAATCCGGACCCAGGATAGTGGCTACTCGCATCTATCGCATCCTGTGGCCAGAGGGCACTTCTGACACTGGCTCAAGTTCCTTGACATTTTTTGGCAAATCCAGCGATGGCAATGTTGATGAGGGTGAGTCAGGTGGTACCACAGAACGCCGTTTGCCTTCCCAGCGACAGTTCTTCACGTTCATGGAGCCTCGTATTTATATTTTGATTTGTTGAGTCTGATTGTGAGCCGCTGATAGTATTCATCGGCTCAGTCGTTCCTAGAAACTTTGAATTCCAAGCTGTAGTGCTGAGTTCCTCGATTGATTAGTCCATTGGCCCAGGAGGAGCTGCGATCGAACCTGAACAGCCAGTTTGATGGTGCCGTGTCTGATTCCGGTCGCATTTGGAAGGAGCTTCATGTGGCAGCATCAGCGCTTGAGCCCTTTCCAACATATGAGGACGGGACAGAACGGGACTTTGTTGACGCGATGGGAGCAAACAATAGACACAGCAACCTTGGCATCATCATCAAGAAGATGGAGCAGCATCTCAAGACAGTGAAGACTGCCGCACAGGAGTTCAGGATTCCTGTCACGAAGTTGCTGCCTGAAGTGGACTTTGCTGAAAAGGAAGTGCGCCGGTTCCTCTCAGTGGCGACCACAACTACCTGTCTAAGGATCTTGGTATCGAAAGCCGCTGAAAACAAGAACCAGTACTTGCTTGAGAGTGTGAACAAAACGATTGGCTTTGTTGCAGATCTGGATGTACCAGAATGCATTGTGAAGAAAATGAAAGACCTATCAAGAAAGATCCAAGCTGCCTCAAAGACTAAGGGGAACACGGCTGAGGATCGTGAAAGGTCCAGGTCTAGGGGAACAAAATGAAGGAATCGGTGCCTACAAAGATGGCACCATGCGAATTTCCGGGCCAAGTAGGGGCACACAGTTAACACAGTTACATTGAGATGAGATGAGTAATGAGTAATGAGTTACTTTTGCTGTTAAGCATTGACAGTATTGACCGGGTTCTAGTGTGCCAGTGGCATTGGCCCTCTTTCTTCAAGCCGCAAACACTGAGGTTTTTGTTTGCGTGCTTTGTCTAGCTGTGGGCTCTGTGGTTTTTTTGCCCGCTCCGCTACCACTTCTTGCACACAGAATCGGAAACGATTCTGAGGGACTCTGGAGCCAAAGGGGTCTCTTGATTTACTGGTCAAACAAATTGATCAAATTAAATTGTAGTTAGCTGGATCACTAGATCACAAGCAAAGACAACAGTTGCTTGGCCTAATCAAGGTCAGCAAATGGGGTGTCAGCAAAACAGATCTCGAATCTTTGTTCATGATACATACCATACAGTATACAGTCTTTTGTATTGTACTTCTTATATCGATGGGCATTGCAACGAGGGATGCATTCACAGTGAAACTGCAACAACCGCGTTTACCGTTCACGTTTTGCTCTCTTGAGGACGTTTGTTCAAGGACTGTAGTTTACAACTCGTTGCTCGTTGCCTGTGAGTGCAACACCCACAGTTGAGCAGCCTGTGTGATGCCCACGGGAAAGAAGACTGGGCCCAGCCAAGGCCCGGAGGGACCAGGCCCTGCCAAGGCCAGGAAGACTCACACGCAGGCAACACTTACCCAGTCCTTCGCGATTGGCACGGAGTTTGCGGCTTGGAAAACAAATTGTATCGCTGAGTCATGGGCCTCATACGCAACCAGATCAGCTCCTTGGTTTGAACGTCAGTGGCAAAGAGTTCAGAAGGCTCAGATCCATCCAGAAGTCAAGCGGTTTCAGGAACAAACCGCCTTGCCTGCCAACAAGAGCTGGTGGGTATTTAATCCCAAAGAGACAGCGGACAAGTTTGAAGCTTGGCTCAAGAAGCAGGGTCTTCCCACACTGGATGCTTCCACATCAGTGCCAGTCAAGGTTGAGCCCAAGGATGCTTCCACATCAGTGCCAGTCAAGGTTGAGCGCAAGGATGCCGCAGAATCGCTTGCTGAGTCAGCGCAGCCAAGATTGAGCCCAAAGGAAGAGGTTCCTGATAATGGAATCGGAATTGGTGTTGAGTCTGGCGTCGATGATCCCATCGCTACTGAGAATCAGAATGACAAGCATGAGCAGCATGAGGCTGTGTCACAACAGCACACTCCTGCGGCTCCACCGGATGTGCCGATGGTGGATGTGCCGATGGTGAATGAGAACAATGACATGGACCTGGACATTGACCACGACAAGGAGAAGAACAGCGTGAATGCAGCTCCTGAGTTCCAGAACATTGACATGGCCATTGCACACATGAAAGGTCACAATTGCCTCAGAGACTATTTGAAAGTGAATCGGATAGAGAGTCCCGTAGACAAGCATGAGTGGGAGCAAAAGTTGAAAGAGAACCCAATAGCGCACCTCATTCGCTTCAACAGCTTCCTAACCAACTTTGGTGAGGAGGAGATTTGCATAGCCAAACTTCTGGTGCAACATGAGGAGAAGAATGCCATTGCAGCAGGCCTAATGACATCAAAGTCTCTTTGGTCCCAAACTGTTCGCAAAGCACGTGCTCATGAAATGTTCCCGGAGTACATCAGAACCTTTGCAAGAACATCTATCCCTGATGCAGCAGACCCAGACTGGTTCTTTGGTAAGGGATGCGACGCTGACTTGACCAATTTCTACAACTTTGTCAAAGAGAAGGAACTACTGATGTTGCCAACCCTGCTTGATGTAGAGAAGAACCTGGGATGGCCTCGGTGGGAGTTTGGGTGGAAATGTGAAGACTTTGGTCAACTTGACGAAGACCAGTATCAAGCAGCCCTCTCAGCAGCAAAGGCGCATCCTTTGTTCGCTGATTTTTGGGCCAGCGAGTGTGAGGAGTGCGAGGAACAACGGGAAAGGACCTTTGGGGATGAAGATGGCGATGGGCTTTGTGATCTAGGGAGTTTTGCTTCCTTTCTTTTCAAGGGGTTGAAGGGCTTGGTTTCGAACACCTCATTGCCTCCATCAGCTACACTCTCCTCATCTCTTGCTGAGGCACAGGTGGTCGCTGATGTAGAGATTGCAACAGCTCAAAGGTATGGGCAGCAGTCAATCTTTGTTCATTTACAAGAGTTTGGGCATGGTGAAGTGATCAAATCAGCCAGGTTTGATCCAAAGAAGTGTCCTCGCAGATTTCGGAAGACCCCACCAGAAAACATGCCTTCTCCGATCCACTTGTTGCAACCATGTGGTGACCATGTGGTGACTATGAATATGAATATGAATCTGAACCTCGCAATCTTGGCAACTGGCAGGCTGCTGTGCCGAAGGGCCAGCGCGAAGATGACAGCCAGTGTTCGCTTGCAGGTGGCTTTGCTGGTGTCGGCTCAGTCTTTGTATTGGTGGTATCGGTAGGTATACAGTACATAACTAACAAACTCGACTCAACTGCTTGTTGATGGATTGAATGTAAGTTTATGTTCATGAGGTGCCATCACTGCTGCCATCATGAATGGAGACTATTGTTCTGATGATTCTGGTGGTGAGAAGCAGGATGCCGTCCCCATGAACGCTGCTCGTCCCCATGGACAAGATGCCGCAGCTGCTGCCGCCGCCATGGAAGGAGAGCGTCCAGATGCAACACCTCCAGATGCTGAGGCTGCCCCTGCTGCCGACGGACCAATCCCTTCAACTTCAGATGCTGCGGCTGATCCCGATGGACCAACTTCTTCACAGGCAGCGGCTGCCCCTGCCGCCGATGGACCAATTCCTTCAGAAGCTGCGGCTGCTCATGCCTCCGATGAGCTGCCAAAGCCTTCAGATGCTGCAGCTGCTCCTGCCGCGCGTGAACCAAACCCTTCAGAAGCTCCAGCTGCTCCTGTCCCCGGTGGGCCAACACTCCAATCCGCTGGTGGTGTTTCCCTTGAAGACTGCCAGGAACAGCTGGACCATGCTTGTGGGCAGTATCCAGACTTGGCAAATATTGAAGCCAGCTGTGCTGAAGCGACTGAGCTGTGGTTTCAATGTGCAATGTGTGGTTGCTTTTGTTGTTGGTTCAGCTATAAATCAAAGGGTCGGGTTGACTTAGGTTTCAACTTGCTCTTGCAATTTACTCAAGACAGCCAGGTCATGGCAGCTCTCTTGCGCAAAGAGCACTATTCAGATCCTGCTTCAAAGATCCTGTCCAACTTGGCAAGTCACCCTGATCTTCTCATTGCCGCATCCATTTGCTCTGGCACTGGGTCGTTTCTCTGCTCAGTCTGGCATAGGATGTCGGTGTTGATTTGTAGAGTTGTGGTAGCGGCAGTGCTGGCCTTCCATTTATTTTGCAAAATCGTTCATTTGGCTTGAGGTTTGAACAGGTCTTGCATCATGCTACCATCGCACTGCGAGAAGCATTTGGCTTGTGTAGCGGCCATGTGATTTGGCAGAAGTAGCAATGGTTGTTGTTGTTTGGCTTTGATTGACCTCTCAACTAACTATCACTGAGGTGACAACTTAGATGTGTTGTGTTTTCATCAGAGTGACAGGTGGAGCCAGCTTTTGCTTCGGAGTTGGTGGATAATAAAGCTCGCTACTGCATGTCGGTCCTCACAGAGCTGACAGATGGTGGCGAGTTTTGCATGTATAAGGTTCTTTGGCTAACAGGAGGTGTGATAGCCAAGGTATGTCTTGGGACTTTTTGTCATTTAAAACTTAACACTGACACCTTTTGTTTTAATTTGTTTCCTTTAGTTTAACATGTAGTATAGCTGGAATTCACTCACTAGCAATAGTCCAGTTGAGTTAGTATCGTGCCCGTGACTGAGGATGCAACAAAACTATTGGACGATAGCTCCCGACAGTGCGCGATGCATTGTGGTAAGCCTTGCCGCTTGCCCGAGAAGTTGACTTGCTTCAGTGCAGGGTTCAGCTGTACTTCATACAGTATGCTTAGCAAAGATGCAACCAAGAATGCCACAGCCATGCAGAAAGCAAAGGACGATGACCCGGAAGAATCTTGAACGAGCTCAGGATAGTTTTAGTTTCAGGTTGTTGTTTCAGGTTTGTGTTGATTATCTAATCTATTTATCTTATCTAACTGTTTGTGGCTCAGGGACACGTGGCCAGCGTCACAACCTTTCATGCCTGCCTGGATGTTGTTGACACGAGCCGACCCACGTGGGCAATCTTTGAGAATGTGGAATCAATAGATCGCGAAGTGGACCCAGACACGCACCTTGTCACTGATTGTTCAGCAACGCGCATGCTGCATACTGCATGCATTTCATCACTGAATCGAAACTACTTTTTATATCATCTAATAGTAACATGTTAATATAATATAATATAAATATATATATATATATATATTTATATATTAATGAATTGGCAGCAAACGTTCAGTGAATGTTCACGGGTCAAATTACTGTACAGATTGGGTCAGTCTCTGTCTTGAGTTGCAATACCGGCGGAGGCAAACCAATCTCCAGCTTTGCTTAGCAGCTTTGGAAGAGAGAGGTTACGTTGCCCGGAGTTTCTTGCTGGATGCCCTTTGGTACGGCCTACCTCAATCTCGGCGACGGGTGTACATTGTATGCCTTGCTGTGGGCGATCGCGAAATAGGCTGTTCTGCTGAGGACTTTTTTAACAGCGTTGAGAACCTTCTGGGCAAGCTCTACATGGATGCACCCCCAGCGGAATCTGGTTAGTGCACAATGTCAATGTATAGTCTAGACTATGAGTCTGACTATTGCTATTACTATTATACAGTATAATACATTATAGCACCTATTATATCAATATATAATAACTAATAATATAATTTAACAATATATAGAGCCCTTTCATAGTTCCTTTTCTGTCCTCTTGACTCCTGACTCTCTCTTGTATTTTTCTCTTTCTCTTTCATTAGTCTTCAACTATTATTTAAACCATGACGCATGACACTTAGTCTAAATTACTAATCATAATCATTACTCTTTGTTTTCCTGAATCTTGTGCTGCGTGCATCACTCACAGGACTCATGACTCTCAGGTCAGGTTTAGTAGCCTAGGAATAATTGTGTTTTTTGCTAAGGACGAGTTCCTTCTTCCGGATGATGACCCTCGTGTGCTTCAGTACCTCGATACGCTGAAGTCCGAGAGGGACAAGAAATTGTCCAAAGATGAGGAAAAGGAGGAGAGACTGGAGAAGTGGATGGCCTTGCATATGAGCGTCGCCGAGAAGCGTCACTTTGTCTTCAGTCAAAACCACTTTGTTCAAGGATGTCACTACCAACACAGTATATATAGCCCCGAGCAATGATGTGATGGTTATATAAAGGTTCACGGTCACGCTTGTTTTGATATCAAAATGCAGATGCACTTAGATAGTCTAGTCTATGTCTATACTGATACTGTCACTAAAGAGAGAGACTAGATAGGCAAAGATTGGATAATGCACACCTGCATGCAAAGTCTTGAGATTAAGGCGGGATTGAGTGGCCACTACAAATTCATCCAGATATTCGGCAGTCCGAGTGGTTTGGGATCTTGACAGAGCGTGCAAAAGAGGCCTGTGAGCAATGCAATAAGTAACCTCCAAAAAACTGTTCATAAAAAAAGAACTATTGAAGGAGTTTATGCTGTTCCTCAAGTGTCAACTAAGACTAGTACTAATACTGTACCAATACCAGCTTTCAGCAATTCCTTCAGGTGGTGGGCTTTGGTTCTGACGAGCGAGAGCGCTTGGGTCGGCGCATTGACTACTGCGACTGCTACCATTCTGCAAACCGCTATGCAACATCACACACGCATTTTCCGATTTGCCTGCCCAGGACAATCGGATGGTCCTATGTAAGGCAAAGATTGGTGCTTGGAAGAGAGCTGATGATGCTACAGGGACACACCCCGCTTAACGATGATGCCAACATTGACGAGGGCAAACCCTTTTCAGAGTCCCTTTTGGGAAACTTGGCAGGAAACGCGCCGCTTGGACAGTGCCAGTGATTGATACGGTACGTTTTTATTGTTTCATAACTTAACTGAGTATCTATATTTGTCAACGTTTGTCATATGTTTGGATATATACAGCAGTATACAAACAAACCAATAGACTGAGCATTGTGATTGGGACGACTGCTGCCATTAATGCATTGTTTCAGTCCTTTTGTGAGCGAAAGGTAAGTCTACAGAGGTTTTTATCAAGGCTTAGAGCCCATGCAGACTGTCACCTTTCATATTGCATGGTGGCTTGAGGTTTGCAGGGAATGTCCTTTGCGCGGTCATCATGTCCGTGCTGTGTTCGATTCGATATGTGACAGTATCGGAGTTTGATGAAACCGATGAGATCATGGATCTTGTTTCACAACTCGGTTCTTAGAGTTCTATGTGCAGTGCAGGTTCAGTACAGCAATTGATGGATTGTAGCTTTGCTGTTTTTCAATGCAGCATGCGAAGTAGCTGCATTGTTGGGAAGCCAAGCCGCAGCCATCCCATCCAGAGTTTACTCCAGCAGCGATCAAAGCAAAAGAGTGACCATTCAGATTCACGATTCATGAATCATGTAATAATAACAACAGACTGACTAATTGTCACTAGCCACTAACTAATTAATTGTCAATTGTTCTCTTGTCTCTGGATTCCCCACTGGCTTTTCTTACGTTAACCCACACACACACGTCGCTTGCACGTCGCACGCAAGTCGCACGTACGTCGCACGCACGTCGCACGCACGTCGCACGCACGTCACACGTACGCACGCACACCCCTCGCACATACACCGCACACCCCTCGCACATACACCGCACACTGCCACGTTTACTCAACATGCAATCTGGTTTTACGACTTCTTGAGATCTCATAACATATTAATATATAATTAGGAGAAATATTGAAAATATATTATCTATGCTTTGAATATAATATTGATGAGGAGGATATATTAATAATAATGTGTAGGGACATATATATTATAAATCTTCCAATATGGAAATGATTATGTTAATTGATGTTAGCAAAATTGAAATTTCATAATTCTTAAATTCTTCTTAACATGATAAGGATTGAAATAATCACCTAAAATATTAATGTGGTTGATTTGCCGTGCAATATTCGTGGTTGCCTTAGGCCAGGTTAGCAATATTTTGGATCTTTTTTTGAAGCTATTGCAAAGCAAAGGGAAATATCGGAGAGGTTTGGGATATGTTAGTTTGGGTCCTCACTGTTGCTAGGGACACGTTTGATTTGGGAAATATATTTTTATGAATAGTATAATATATTTTGTTTTTTCTGCGTGTCTTTTCCTGAGCTTCGAATCAATCATTTTGGTTGGCAAACAAAGTTCGCAAGCTGACCTGTTGTTCGGTGTTGCTGCATGCTTTCTGGAGGGCCTTGCTGGTTAAGAATTGCGCATTCTTGCATACAGCATGTGCCTTGCAAATTTGGCAGAAAAATTTTCCCCTTTTTTCCACATCTTATGATTCAAATGGCCAGCCAATTTCCGGCTACCAAATACAATTCCAATAGGTCGATTGCGCAAACTTTTCAATCTTCTCACTTGCAGTATTTCGCAAAACGCGGCCACTGCAATTGATACAGACCACGTAATTCTGCAAGGCAACATGATACTTATTCATGCGGGGGTGTTGATCATCAAGGAGATTTTTGACCAACTCCGACTTGGTTTGGATCTATTCACTACCTCCTCCTCTGAGATCGACATTTGCCGTGGCTGGGCAATCTTCATCTTTGATGCATTGGAGGTCTTCAATTTTGCTTGGTGATGCATTTATTGCATCCTTGGCATTGCAGGCCTCCGGGCCTTGTCGCCCATTGGTGCTTGTTTGCACTTTGGGCATTGCCAATCTCATGGAAAAGCTGATCTTTCCTTCTTTAGCATCTTGACGATTGTTCTTATCAATCTCCTTTGTTTGGTGAAGGTAATGATCTTTGGATTCCATCAAATATCGGATCCTTTGGATGGTCAAAGCAGCTATGCGACCATATCTTTGGTCAGTGAGTCGAAGCCCTTCTTCCTATTCTGGCTTTTTGGAAAGGGCAATCTCCTTTGCAACTTTGGTGGCGTCCTTCAATCTGGCTTTGACCGTGTACGGCCCTGGCGGCATGTCTTTGATTTGCTGCTGGCTGAGAATCAGCGGCCGAACTCTGCTTCTTTGATCGTGCGAGACCAATATTTGCAGATCATAGAAAATCTCTGGGTGTTTCCCATGGACTCGGGAGGCTTTATTGGAGAGGATCTAAACCCGAATTTGCATCTGCATGTCAACGTAATGTGCAATCATGCGCAACCCATAGAACCAAGCTCGGTCAACCGACTATTGTTCCGGTAACACCGTTGTCACTGCATCTTTGCGGTAGAGTTCTCCTGTAACCAAAGTATGATGAACTATTGCAACCACAAAATGCTTGAGCCGGGGATCAGCACTTGTTTGTGCAATGCCGATGGTGACGGCATCGATGCCCTGCAGCCGTATTTCATCATGCATGGTCCAAGAGCCCCAAGTCTGAACCGCGACGCCCCCTGTCGACAATTCATATCTAGGGAGTTGCAGTAGCCCCTGACCTCAGAACTCCAGATTGATGCCCTGTTCAATCTTTTGTTTGTCTTCTGAGTCCATCGGCGGGAAAGCTTTTTGTGTCTCCTTGCAAAGCCACAGAACATGTATTGCATTTGCTTCAATCCCACAGTGCGGGCACATGAGCTGTTTGCTGCCCTCTGCTTCTGCAACCTGGTGAAAAGTGCACCTTGGTGTCAAGTCTGCAGTATTGTTTTTTGCACTTTGGTGAGCCCTTTTGCAAACCGCCTCCATGGCAATCAATCCAAAGGCTGCTGGACCTCTTGCAGGAGTGTTCTCTTGTTTAATTTCATGACTGTCTCCCACTTGCGAGCTCGCTCGAATTCTTTGTGGATGAAAAACCAGGCAACGTTCATGTTGATCTTGAAATCCGGTTCACCATAGTGTCCAGGTTTGGTCCACTTATCATGCCTGTCAATATTCCAGCTTCGTTCCATCAAATAGCACTGAAGCGCATCAATTGGGCCCTTAGCATGTTGCCATGGGTACTGTGCATTTTGTAGCTTCTCTTTTTGGAGTTGCCAGGCTTTATTTAATAAGTCCTTTGCCAGTGCCTCCGGCCAATTGCCATGGAATTTGTGGTACACCTTGACCTGGTCTTCGAATGCAGCAAAGTCCGGGTCTCTGTGCTTGGGGTTCATGTCAAACATGATGTCCAGATTGCCTGTCTTCTGCAATCCCATTTGTCTTCCCATTGTGGCTCGAATCCGCCTTCTGTTTTGAGGTGTTAAACCCATTGCTTGGTGGCCCCAATTGATGCCTGCAATTATGCTGTCCTTGTATAATTTGAATTTGATGGCCCGGTTGGGGATCTTGAGCGGGGCTAGCTTGACCGTCTTTCTGCCAGCTCGCCTGCGTCGGACTTTCATCGTTTGTAACCGTCGTAAACTACCTGCTGTGCAGTCAATGCCTAAATCCCTCATCATATCGTGCATTCTGGGTCCGCCGGTTTGTAGCTGATCATTGAGGATCTTCTTGGCGGTTGCATTTAACACAATGAAACCAATCTTCTGTTCCGGCACCTTCAGATTGTCTTTTTCTAGTTCGCCTTTGACAATTTCGTAGGCTTGGATGGCTATATACGCAGCATTTTGTGGATTGCGGTCAACAGCGTCAAAGCTGAAATCGTCGATCCAGAGGTCTGAATGCAATTGTGGGATCTTTTTTTGTGAAATTGCTTCAATTACAGATAGACCTTTGCTGCTAAAGGTGCCTGAGGATCTCCAGCCAGGATGCCATGAGTGGTCCAAAGAGGTTGTGATGCTTCTCCTTCTGCTTCAAGGATTCTTTGACCACTGTACACCTGCATGGCCATGGCAGCGTGGGCGGCAGGGTAGTTTGAATCCAGCCATCTTGTTGCGAGCTACTCTAAGTTGATCCTGTCGTAAAAATTTGACAGGTCAAGCAGAGCAGAAATGACAATTTTGTTGTGAGCAGCATGGTATTCCGTCATGAAAGCTCTCTTCAGAGCAACTTACAAGCATTCAATTCCAGGTATTGCACGTTCCCAGGGATATTCACGTTGGATGTTTCTGGACCATGCCTTTGTCTCTTCATTGCGGAGTCTGCGCCACAACCGATATATGGTTGCCACTAAAGCAATGGGCCGCTCAATGATGCTTGTTTTTGGCAGTATTGCGATCAATGAGATTTCCATTGGCTGGTTTTCCAGCTACCGCAAAGCAAAGGGAAACACCGGAGAGGTTTGGGATATTTTAGTTTGGGTCTTCATTACTGCTAGGGATACATTTGATTTGGGGAATGTATTTTTATGAATAGTACAATAGAATATTTTTGATTATATTGGATAGGATTTTCGATAAATTATTAAAAGAATTTCGATTATATAATTTAGATTATTATTTTTTTTGGGGGGATGAATAATTAATATATATATGGCTATAATGGGTGGTGTTGAATATTTTTAAATAGGGATATTATATGAATTTATGAAGAGATATGATATTGGGGTTTGAAATATTGTATTTTTAGTTTTTATTTTCGTTGAGAATTATTATATAGTTATATATATATATATTTGATCTTTTGATCGCTGTTTTATTTTTGAATGAATATATATTTCGATATTATTAATATCACGTTGCATATTTTATGATATTAATTTTATTGTTATTATTTTTCATTTTTTTCTTTAATTATTAAATTTTTAGCTATATTATTTTTGGCATTTCTTTTTATATAATTTTTATAATAATATTGATTTAATTTATTATATATCAATTTAGAATACTATTTTCCAATTAAATATATATATATATATTTATTTAATGATAATTGAATTTATTGATTATATTATATATTTAATTTTCCTAAAATAATTGATTTGGATTTTAAAACTATAGAAATACTTTTGATCGAATATTTTTTAGATAGATTAATGATTTTATATATGAATGATTTCGATTTAATATTATCGATGGAATAATAACTATTCTATATAAGATATCTTGGCATATATAGTTAATGCCAAATGCAATCGGATCAATCAACCAATCCTTGTATTAAAACAATTAGGCGTGATATTGATCTGCATATATTTTAATAAGACTTGAAATGATCAGAACGGCAGGGAAATGCAATCGCCGCGCATTACAGCCGTACCAAACAACAATTTGATTAAAATAATTGATTATTTTTTTGACGCGAATGAAGACCATACCCAGCACTCTGGTAGGAAAGAGTGCAGCGGCATAGTGCGTAGTATGGCCCGAACCTTTATTTCCTTTGTAAGTAAAATGGCGGGGCTCACGGTGTCCGCGAAATTTAGTAATATAGGCCTACCTTACAAGCGTAAGGATGTATTGCCTGTGGTGGCAGAGCGATTTTTATACTTAAGATATTTGGCGCACTAAATGGCAATACGTAACGTCGCCATATTGAATGATGCAATGCCTAGCAACGTACAACG